TTGGTGTTTTTTTTTTTTTTTTTTTTTTCCCTCTGATAGCACGAGCTAGAGAGAAAAGCACCCTCAAGAGGGTCTCGTCACACCGTGAGACCCTTTCCCTAGTCCTCCAGCTCCTCAGGATCCTGGGTGCCTGTCTGTGTATCGAGCATATTTTCAGACCCAACTTGGGACTTGAACCCATGGTCTGTCACGTAGCCCCCCCAGCCTGACATGACACCATTGTTACTGCATGCCGCTGTGACTGGGCCCACCTTGACTTTCACTTTAAGGCTGGATGCCCTTTCTCTGTCTTGCTGTGCAATGAAAGGGCTTGGGGGGCTCTGGCTGTTGTGCAGGTGCAAGGGTGTTGGTTTTCTCTCTGGGGACCTGCTCTGAGCTCTCGAGGTCTTTGTTATCACGCCTGTCACTGTACGGTCCTAGCCACTCACCTCTCTAGCCCTGCCGCCTCAGTCCTAAGTAGACTGCCTATACTTGCCTTCCCTCCTCAGCTTAACTCCAGTCCAAGCCTCCAGACTGGCTTAGAAAGCAGATCCCCTTTCTAGGCCTCTCCAGGCAGAAGGGCAGATATGGGGCACAGGGAGAGCAGCACCTGCCACTCCTTGTCACCCCTCACCTTGTGGTCTCCAGAGAGTGCAGCCTGCCAGCTGTGTGAGTGTCTGTGGGCCAACACTGCAGCAGATGAGCCCAGGAGGAGAGGCCCCTCCTCCTCCAAGCTGCTGAGTGGACAGCGGCCACCTCCTGGCCCATGCTCCTGTACGTGGGTCTCCAGCCCCCTCCCACCACATGCACTCTGCAGCCGCTGCGTCCTCTGCTGTCCTTTGGTCGACGGAGGCAGTGATGGAGGATCCGGCTTATAATTATGTATGAGCCTGAGCTGCGAGAATCTGTGCGTATGTGTGATGTAGGGGTGATTAGGAGGGATTATGAGCTCATAAATATGTATCACTTCCCCCACTGCAGGAGCGATGGGGCAGGAAAAGCGGGGATCAGGATGGCTCCTCTTTGCACAAATCTCCACATCCTCTCGGAAATTCCCCAGAGTGGCCCTGCCTCCTGTGCCTAGCAGCCATCAGCCCAGCTTGTTAGAATGCTGGCCGTGGAAGCACTGTTTCTACCTAGGATCTTGGAGGGGGTGCAGGCCCAGCTGCTGCTGCCTGTCCCATAAGGGGCCTGGCCTCCTCATGCCCCCATAGCACTGCCAGGTGCTGGCACCACCATGCCCTGTTGACCTTCCTCGACCAATGCTCTGGTTCCTGCCTCATGGGGAGGGCCTTGAACTGGGAGGAGGGAGCCCTCACTGGCTGGCTCTGTGACCTTGGCAACTTGCTTGCCCTTGGAGCCTCAGCTTCCCCACATGGAATGTGGTGCTTGCGGAGTTTCAAGGAGGTCATACTGGAGCCCAGGGCAGAGCTGGTGCTCAGGCAGGGGTTACCCACAAGCAGACTTCCATCGGGTTTTGTTGCTCCTCTTGGCCTCAGTCCCCTCACTTGTACAATGGGCCAGTCACTTCAGGATCACTGATTACAAGATTCTTCAGTGTGAGCTGCGGGGCCTCTCAGCCGTGGGGGTCTCTCAGTTGTGGGGTCTTTACTGGCAGCCTCCAGAGGTTTCTGCCAAAGAGTGGTGAATACTCTCAGGGCCAGGTCTGGTGGGTGCTGGGTGGAGTTCCTTGGTGGGAGCTCAGGTTATGGCCCTGAGGCAGAGCTCTGTTGGCTGCTCTCTGAGGGAGGTGTGGGGCCTAGGCTGCCCCAGGTGCATTGTCACTGTCTGTGGGCAGCAGGAAGCCAAGGCCTTATCCCATTCCACTGGGAGGACTTCTGCTGTGAACTCTAACCCTCTTCCAGTATGTAGACCCCAGCCTCTTCCCCCAGCCACTCTGCTGAGTACTCACGGCCCCTGCCAAGAACCTAGAGGAGCCTGTGTCCTGCAGATGCACAGCCCCACCTAGTCACCATCTGAGATACATCATTTTGCACCGTTTCCCCAGGGACTGGACTGCTACCTGCTCAACCCCTCATCCGGTCCAGATGACTGGGGGTGCTCCCTGGCCCCTCAGCTGGTAGGCTGGTGGAAACTGCCCCTTCATGCCAGATGCTAGGTGTATTAGTTTCCACACCCACATAGCAGGCTGCCTGGCATTCTCTGACTTGGCCTGTGTGCTGCAGGTGAGTTGTTGCACTAGTCTCTTCATTTTGGGGTCTCCTGGCCTGCTTGAGGTACTCCTTCCCTGCCTTGTCACTTGTGGGCTTGCTACATCTCACTGTGTCAAGCAAGGTCACTGTGTCACCCTTGTGTAACTCTACCTCAGGGCTTGCTCCACTAGGACTGGAGTCTTGGATAGGCGCCCCCTACCATACACGCCCTGAGCACCGACCTGGGGTCCCTGACCCTTGCCTCCAGGGGCCCCCAGCCTCTGCCAATGTAAAGTCATGTGTTCTCAGGCCCTGGTGCAGCCTAGCCTCCTGCCTCCACCCACCAGGCTGCCAGCATCTTGGCTCTGTCCCCTCCTGGCCTCAGTGCCAGGCTGAGAAGAGACCTTGTCCTCAAGGCCATTGCGGCTCAGTGACCGCAGGCCTACCTGCCGAGTGCGTCCCCAGCTGTTGGCTGGGATAATAATAGCCCGTTTCCTAAACAAGATGAATGTTGCTGTCATCCTGCTTTCCAACACAACTGCTCTGTCCCCAATCTCCTCCCACAGCCCTAATGAAGCTCCTTATTCCTAGACTTTTTACTTATGACCCTTTTGAACTTCTCAGAAGCACCTGTTCCTTGGATCTTTGACCTGAGGGCTAATCCAGGCCACCTTTACTCCTTGGCCTGCAGGAAGGAGGAAGCTTGTGGTAGAACAGCGACCCCCACGTGTCCATTCTTCCTAGGTCCAGCTGGGCAGTTGGCCTGCGACCTCTCCAAATGTGGCTTCTTGGGATCATCTGCCTTGGGGTCTGTCCCATGTTGGCTCAGCCTTGGCCTCAGACCTTTCTCAGCCTCCCCAGGTCAGGGCCAGGCCACCTGCTACCGAGAGCTGGGAATATGATGGGCCTCCCAGTGGTGGGGACAGTGGGGGCTGGGATAGAGAGAACAAGGAAGCAGAGGTGGATGGGGGTGGACATGTACAAGGCTCGAGAAAGTTCCTTGTGGCGTGGGGCTACTGGGTACACTCAGTGTATGGCTTGGTGTGACTGCAGTGGGGCAAAGGGAGCAGGTGGGGACCATCTGCTCTGACAAGTCCAGGAAAGATTTGGAAGGAGCAGACCTTGCTGTGGGCTCTGACTGAAGGACACAGTGTATGGGTCGGATCAGTCATTCTTAGGCAGGCCCTGGCCAGGGCATGGCGCAGACTGGTCTGTGGACTGAGGCTAGGAAAGCTGAGATGAGGAAGGTGGCCCTGCAGGGAAGAGGACTTGAGGCTTCTTCCTGCAGGTTGTGGGCACAAGGCTGCCTAGAGCATTCTGTTCCTGAAGGCTGGGAGCAAAGTCAGACATGACGGATCGTTGCTATCATCTAAGGAGGTAGATTTTAGAGGGGATTTGGGGTGGGGGGACGAGGAGAGGGACTGACTGATTGCAAAGGGAACGAGGTAGTATTGGGAGCCATGCAGCTGAGGTGAAGGCTACCCATGCATTGAACTGCGCAGCTTAATGGGGGTGTCCTCCTGGCAGGAGTCAGTTCTCTCCTAGACTGGCAGAATCTGCCCAGGAGCCCTAGGCTGGGGCAGTGAGTTACAGAGCACTGTTTGATTTGGTTGTCTGAGAGAGAAATAGGATCCATATTTTACATCAGCTGGTTATTCAGGATAAGCATATTTCTTATCTTTTGGCATTTACTTAAATTGCCTTGCATATTTGAAGACAATTGGTTACAAATTAATTCCAT